CAAAAGACACCCTGAGAGGCTGAGAGGCACTTTGAGAGGCTGTCACACAGAAACGAGAGAGTGAAACAAACTGAGAGCCATGGAGAACTAGCCATAAGATGTAAAGAGACCATGAGAGCCAATGAGCCAATGAAACCATGACAGATTCATGAAAACCATGGAGAAATGAACAGTCAGGGTGTCAGAGTTCATGTTCGCCACTCGCCGTCAAAGATTCTTATGTGAAGAGGGTCAACCAAATAGATGGCAGCAGTTTCACCGGCCTATCTCTGTTTGCGTTTGTTCAGTCATGAGAGGACTTCACATATACTCATCATGAACCAGCCACAAGTTCATTGTGCCATTGTGGTAGGCTCACATTGGCCTGTCAATTCGCTCAGCAGCAAATCAACCTGTATCGAAGAGTCCTTTCTGGGTTTCTTCTATGTAACCATGGTTTTGTTTTATATTGGCCCCGCTAGTGGTCAATATCCAGCCTGTAGACAGCCATGATGGATGATTGGCAACCCCCAAGAAAGAAACGCCGCGGCGGCCATCAGCAAAGATTACAACAACATGCTGCCGAGAAGGAGGCGCCAGCAAGCTGCGAGAGCTCTGCTTTGTGTTTGCTGCTGTTGAACTTGTTTGCGTGGGGGTTCTTTTCGCCACAAAGAGTTCAGCAGATCGCTGAAATGGCTGTGAAGGACATCGAACGATCCAAGGAAGACCCACAAGTTTTGAAAGACCTCTACACCCTGTCCAATCTGGGGACCAAAGGAAAACACGCGAACAACATCCACGCCGAGCTCATGAGCAAAGTTGAGCATGTTCCAAAAATCCCCAAGCCTTTCAAAGCAAAAGTGCCACTGAAAGGGTTTCCTGACTCAGTTCAATCGATGCTGTTGCCACATGAAATGTTTGCTTGTCTATACCGCAACTACAAGAAGGTCTGGTCCACTGCAGTTGTGCCAAGCGTTGAGCGGGTGCAAAAGTTTTGGAGAGCCATGCGGCTTCATCCCCAGATGCGTGATCACCCCATGACTTCCTCCCCTCAATGGGAGAGTTGGACTGTGCCTATTGCCGTGCACGGTGACGGAGTTCCAGTCACTGGTGTGGGGAAAGTGTGGAGTCGAGTGATGACCAATTACTCATGGTATTCCCTTCTGGGATATGGTACCACTCCATCAATGCTCATGTGGGTGTGGGGGTTCTTTGACAAGCTGAAGGTGGGCGACCAAGCATCAGGCACACTGCTGGAGTTCTACTCCATATTGAGATGGAGCTTTTTGGCGTTATCGGAAGGCAGGTGGCCTTCGAGGAATCACAGAGGAGAGAAGCAACTTGAAGTTTTGCAGACATGTCTTGCTGTTAAATGTACATGCAACAAACCAGCAGGAATATGAATACATATGCAATTGAGAGAGGTCATCCATTTATAAAAGAATATAACATGGAACGTGAGAACCTGGAACATGAGAACCTGGAACATGATAACCATGAACATTGAAGCTGAACTGTTTTACCCTAGTTCCTCTCATGGTGTCACCTCTCAGGGGTACAAAAAGTTCCTCTCATGGTGTAACCTCTTCAGCGTTTCAGGTGTGGTCTGAAAAATTTCGGCTGTGTAAGGTACAAAGAAGGCTCTGTGGAAGCCTTGAGAGCCGGGTCTTGGCTGGCTGGTGGCTGGAAGGGTGTCCTATGGGCACTCACAGGAGACCTTGACTACTTCAACGCCATGCTTGGCACCCCCAACTATTCCGCAGTGGGTGGCCCACGTATGCATTGCAAATGCACTGGGACTGGCGCTGCAACATGGACAGATTTTCGACCACAGGCTATGTGGAGGAACACCCGCTGGGAGGCCGACGTTTGGAGAAATTGGGACGAACGTTCGAAGTGCATTTTGCTGACTCTTCCTGGGGCGAGTTGCTGGTCAATAGCCTATGACTGGGTTCACGTAAAGTACTTGGGCGTAGATCAGTACATCTTTGGCTCAGTGATGGCCCTCTTGGTTTCTATGGTCACGCCAAATGACGCGAACCAGAACTTGCAGAACTGCTGGGATTGTTTGAAAACCTTTTTCAAAAACCACGCCACGCCCACACCATTCAGATTTTTGTCGAAATTGTCAATGTTCATCCGCGCAGGAAAGTACCCCAAATTGAGGGGGAAGGCCTCAGAGATAAGGCACTTCGGCCCAGCTTTGTTGGCCCTATGGTCTCGCCATCAGAACCCTCACCTCGTGCTGCACCAGCGCATCACCCTCATGCTGAAACAAAATGTACACCTGGAGGAAATGATTACTTTCCACAAGGACGACTTCGCCCTACCACCTGGACCAGCGCAAGAGTTTGAAGAAACCGCCAACAGCATGCTCTTACTTCTTTCCCAGGTAGCTGATCACTTCGTTGAGGAAGGCGTGAAATGCTTCGATATCACAAGCAAATGCCACATGCTTCAAGAGCTTGCTATTTTGAGTCGCTCCATAAACCCCAAAGTCACATGGTGCTTCATGGGTGAGGATCAAATGCAGCGCATGCAGCAGGTCGCTAAAGCGTGCGTTCGTGGCAACAAGCTTGATAAACAAACCACAAAGCTGGCCCGCCGCTACCGCTTAGGGTTGCGCCTGCGCTATCTCGACTTGGCTGCGTAAAAAGACTTGTGAGCTTGTGCGCGCTTTGCTGGGACACGTGAGCTGCAGGTTTTACTTCTCTGAGTATATATATGTGGTTTGTTCATGCGTCGAGTTTGCTTCACGTAGAGCTGTGAGAGGCATCCGTGAGACACCTTCAGAGACATCCATATGATAGACACATCTAACCTGTCTTAAATATGTCTGCATCCATGAGGTCTGACACTATATACCCTGAAAGTCTCTCACAGTCTTTCATTTACCACATATCACAGTCTTTCATTTACCACCTACCACAGTCTTTGTTTCTGATTTTTGCCAAGGTCTCTCACTCTCAAAGTCTCTCATCGATTTCCCCCACAGATTTTGCCAAGGTCTCTCACTCTCAAAGTCTCTCATGGATTTCCCCCCGCAGTTCTCTCATGGCAGACTTGTTGCGAACACTTCAACAAATCGACTTTGAGAAAAATCATGTTGGTCTCTTACTACTGAAAGACCTGTCGTAGTTTTGAAAGAACCCTTTAAACAAGACTTGTTGAAAGAATATCACTTTTACTGGCTTTATTCTTATGAGCAGGTTTTTGGAGACACATATCCATGAGATACCTTGTGAGAGACTTGAAAGCAAGCATGAAAGATGAAGTCTTCAGCCCCTGAAAAGATCTATGAATAAATACCTTGATTCAGAGAGTTTTTGTTGGCTATGAACAAGACCGACCGGGAATTGCTGAAATGTGCTCTTTAGAAGCCGACCCCATTGCCAGAGATGGCAAAAGTCTCCATTGAGAGATTTCAAAGCGAGCATGAAAGATGAAGTCTCGAGCCCCTGCAAAGACTCCACCTCTGGTGAACAACTGTTCATGAGAGAGTGGTGCCATGAGAGACCATGACAGAGGTGCCATCAGAGGTTTGCACACTGTGGGTATTCTCTCATGGCCATGTTTTGGATGTATACCAATTGTATTTCCGTCGGTTTGTATACAGTAAGAAACGTGTATATAAACACAAAAAAGCTTAAAAAACAAGGGTCGTACTTTGGTAGTAGTTTGGTAGTAGTTTACCACCAGAAAAATCTAACTAATAGTCAGAAATCTAACTAGTAGACAAATTTTGTTTTTAACTATTAGTTAGATTTTTTCGCTCGAAAACTGATCACAAAAATCTAGCTAATAGTTAAATTCGCAAAAACGATAAACTAACTATTTAGACAATTTTGCTTCCAAAAAAGTTAACTATTTCAAGCCAAAAATCGATCTATTTTCCACACCCCAAACATAGATCTATTTTTAAGAAATCAATTGATTTCCAAGAAATAGACAATAGTCCAAAAACAAGCTAACTCAATCTATTGGGTGGCGGCCAGCCTAGCGCTGGCTCTCCGGTACCTCTCAAAATTGCAGTAGTGCATAAAGAGAACCCAGCGGGTAGGGCCATTACCAAGCTACTTACTGCTTTTGAACTTAAACCGGATCACCAGAGATATTTCGTTCGGCCGGTTAGCAGAGAGGAGGCAGAAGCCAACACTGCCTGCACAAGCTACGACCTGCGTGCCAGCGAAGCTGCCCCTTACATCCCAGGCTGCAAAGTTGTCATCGTTACCACGGGGCTAGTCTGGGACCAAACAGGGCAGACCCACTCCACGCTCAACACACATATGGAAAATGTTGATCTGCTCATCAGTGAAGAGGCGCAGCAGGACATGGACTTGAAATCTGCTTTCGCACCAGCGGTCCCACGCCGTGCCTTCTTTCGGCTATTACTGGGGGACCCTAGACAGAGTCCTGGTGGAGTGGCAGACGGACAGAGAGCACACCGCACTCTCCTTCTCAAAGCCCCCATTGGACTACGAGCTCCCAACATCTGGTATATGCCACACGAGTTCTCAGGGGTCTTTCAGGCGCTCCTCCACCACGGTCGAGGCTTCGGACACACTGAACTTGAAGAAGCAGCAATAGCCGTCAGCCGTAGGCCTTTGGGTAGTTGCTGGTTCCGCCCGGATAAAGTCAAGGCTGAGTCCCCCTTCGCCAGTCAGCTGCAATCCACTTACAGTGATCTCTCTAGTGTTGACCTGGACTTGCCGGTAGGGCTCCTGGTCGGTCTCGGATATGCGGCCACCTGCCCTGACAGCCCGCTAGACTTTCGACAAGCGCAAAGTGCAGCAGAGAGGTCGGGCGTGGCCAGTCCGCACTGCTGGAGCCTAATGTTGCCGACAAGTGCCAGAGTTGCCCAAGAAGTCTATGAGCCACTCATAGGAATTCAATACCCTATGCTTTGCAGCCGGTTAGGCGACACCTGGCAAATAGGCACCACATCCATCCGAGAAGATCACTTGATTGCGTCTGGGCTACGTTTCGTCCAGTGGCGCCATGCCTCGCCCAATATAGATGCTAGGAAGGAGCCCAAGAACAACCCCACGGTAAAGGTCTACCAGCTCCTTGAAGATGAGTTAGCAAGAGCTAGAGCGGAAGGCATTTTGGCACTCACAACCACACGAGAAGCAGCCCAAAACCTGCGTAATTACTTTGAAATTGCCTGGAAGACGGCTAACGCGGAAACGGCAGTCAAAGTAGCAGGTGCCACAGCCCAACACTGCATTGTCATACACGGTGAGTCTACTTTCCTTAGCGGGGAAGGGCGCAATTTGGATTATGATCAGGAATGCTTCACCAGGGCAAATGTGGCATACAGCAGGGCCACCAACCTCACCATCCTTGCCTGCCCTTTGAACATGCAAGGAATGCCGGGGGCCTTGCAAGTACTAGCTGCTCTCCTGCATGGCGTTCAAAGCATTGACACCCATGATGACAAGGAACCCGTGATTCGTGGCTCCCTAGATCTCACGCCGATCCAAGTAGAAGAAGCCACTGCTGCCTTCCATCGGGCTCTTATGCCCCATCAAGTATGGTCTGGCCCCCTGCCGGTATGTCTAGCAGAGCATCATCAAGGTAAGGTGAGGCGCTTACGCCTCATCTTAGCCACACTGTCGCATTTGACAAAGGCTGAAATTTCCAGCCTGCAATATGGGCCACATCTTCCGGGAGGCACGACAGAGCACGGGCTTGTCTATGGCTATGAGACGCCTACGCCGGAATGGCTTGTCATCACAGACGGACAAGAACCCGGACATTGGAGGCTACTCCATAATAGCACTGGCCGTGGACAGCGGTGCAGTGTAGGAAATTCCCAACGATATCAACCATCCATGAATGCTGTGGAGCAGCGTACAGCGCAGGATTACACCTTTGAAGCCTTGCATCGTATTTACTTTTATGATGCGTGGAGAACACAGCCGGTCCTCGGCGCCCCAGAGTCTGACCTAGTCCTGCCGCCGCATCCTGGCCTCTTGACACAAGGCTGTTACTGGCCGCCGCGGAATGCAGAGGAGGAGGTACTCTCCGTCTCAGACATTGCCGCCGAGACAGATGGCCAAGCCTGCCAAACGCCGACCTCGCCTGAGGCAGCCGATGCCGTCATGACAGATGAGGAGGCAAACGACCTTATCTCGGTCCTCAGCTCCTCTACAGTGCTGTCCACCCTGCCGAGCACGGTCCACCAAGAAGAGGCTGACTCCCCCATGGGAGACAAAGAAGTGGAAGCCAATCCATTGGAGGAAGCGGGTGACTGCCTTAGCAATCGTCCCAGTCAATAATGAGATGCTGGAGGAAAATGGAGAGGATTGTAGAGCGATCCCACCGCAAGGAGTTGATCCCCAGGATGAGAGCTCCCCGGCACATTCCTCGGAGTCGCCGATTAAGCGAAGACCAGGGCCAAAAGCAAGTGCAGGCAGGGGTCAATCCAAGAAGCTTCGGCAATCAGCAGACCAGGCCTCCCAGCTGCCATTAGGCAGCATCCCAGAGCATGGTCAACAGACGGCCACGCTTGAGGACCTTGCTGACCCGGCTGACCAAATGCAAGAGTCCCCAGTCAGTAAGGACCCAGCTTCGCCATCCGAACAGCCAGAAAAGGCACAGGAACACCCTCAAGCCACGACAGAAATTGACCTGGACAATGACCAAAAGAATGTAGAAAGAGGAAACACTGCTGCCATTGATATACAGTTAGAAGCAGAGCAGAGAGCCATGCAGGCGCTACATGCACTCCAGTTAGCCTTCGGTACAGCTGCTGATGTTGACGCGAAAGGAACAACACTACCCTCGCTACAGCTGTACAGCGACCTCCCGCGTGAATGGCCCATGGCAAGGTTGCGCATCTCCAACAAGCAAGTTAACCGATTAGTCCGGACATTCCTCTGGCGGAGGGTGGCAGAAAGCGCACTCCATGGCACTCCCTTTGGGAATATCCCAGAAGAAATCAACCGTGACTACATCGCGGACTTGCGCCGCATCAGTGAGGCATTTGCTGCACCCCTGGCAAACCTGTTTGCATTTGCCAAGCAAGGACACAAAATGTGCTCCTTCATACCCCACAAGCAGCTAACGCTCTATGCGAACCCCCTCTTCTGGCAGTACGGCCTCTTCGCCTTTGTCTCCAGGTGCTGTGCCCATAATAATCAACACAGGCGTCAAATTGCAAGCGCAGCAAAAGCAGCCCTGACCAAGCAGGAAAAGTCTAGTGAAAAGGATGTGGATGCGCTCACCTTTATGCAGACAGTCGTCATGTCGTTTGTGCGAGGAATGGAGTATGGAGACCAAACGCTGCCCATCAATGATCTTTTTGTCTACTTTCCGGCGCAGTTGGTTCCATCCCTCGTCACAGCCATGGAGCAGCATTGTTTTGCTTCGGTGGAAGTAGAGGGTGGCTGCGGCTACCGACCCCGTAAGCAAGGGGAGGAAGATAATCCCCTCCTGGTGGTAGGGGTGTATTACAAGGAAATCATATATGACCGCTACCCCCGCATGCCGGACACGTCCTGGGCGGCGAGGGCATATACCTCTGGTGCCATTGACCCGTCGCTGGGGCAAGCTATGTCCTTCCCATCCCTCCTGCAATTGAAGTTGCGCATTGAAGTCCCGCTGTGGAGAAATGTTGTAGAGGCTAAACGCCCCCCAACAGACTCCCAG